CTGCACACTAGCACATCACTATTTTATTCGTAGATTTAACAATTTTGCTTAACATCGACCAGCCATTCAGCATATGTGACATTGTCATTCACACCATGCCTTAAGATATCAATCACTTCAATACAAGACTTAAAACTTCAAGGAGCAGGACCTCCACTAAGTTCCAACGACACAAACACAAAAGTTATAACTAAGAGTTGACTGATACTACAGATTTTACTACCTATGAAGACAAGTTTAAGACGAGAAATTTAAACTTTATGCTATGGGCATCAGACGATACAAAAGTTGGGAAAGGGCAAAAACATCATCTCCCTCATCCCATTTTGGCTATTACATGGGTCACATGGAGATAGAGGAACAGCTAGACTACTACGGCATTTGTGCCCCTTTCTCTAGTATTTTAGAATATCGATCAAAAACTCTTTTTCTTTTGTTTAAGGATTATACCTCATTTTCTGGAGAAGAATTTAAGGCACTTCATAGATATTTAGTAATTCTTTCTGTACCTACCTTTGCATGCTGGTGGCACCCCTTGGTACCTCATATTTAAGTTTCTTGTTCTCAAAAGAAGACAAGGTTTGTAATTACACTTTATTCATGCAAAAAATAGATTCTTAATTTTCTTCCACCTAATACTGATAATGTCTAATTAGTAGGTAATTATGTATAACACTCTTATTGATTTACTGAAAGGCTAACCTCGAACAGGAATTTATAAAAAAGAAAAGAGAGAGAGAGAGAGAGATGGACTACCTCTTTGGAACAGAGTAAGGCCATTATACAGTTAACATACAACAATTGCATACCTTCCTGTACAAATGGAGGGCCTGAATGTGATGGAGTTCTTCCAGCCATCCACATTCCATGCTGATTATCTGCGGTAAATTCATTTGAGTTTATTCTCCATTGTTCATCAGCAACAAATCGCCTTCCACCATCAGGTTGAGATGGCACAGAATATGGATGGGTATATGGATGCTGAGGATGTTGCTGAATCGTTGGCTTTGGAAACGAGAAATGATTGGATGGATTTTGTGGCAAGCTTGGATGTAAAGGTCTTTGCACAAAAGGCGTACTACCTGGTTGAAATTGCTGGTTCGGTTGAGAAGCTTGATATATATCATTATGACCATATTCTAACTGCCTCGATGCATTGAATCCAGAAGCTTCCCTACTGCATACACCTGCCGAAGCAAAACAAGGAGACTGCTGCGAGAACAATTCAGGGTTCCCAGCGGCATCAATATGTCCCCCATGTGAAGGGTTCCCACTCATTTGAATGATTGGGTTATTCTGTGTAAAGAACAAAGGAATGCAATATATGTTATCTTAGCCAAAAGGCAGAGAAAGGTATAACAATGAAATGCAATATACATAACACATATTAAGCAAGTATTTTAGAAACATCAACAACAGCAACAAGTAGAAATCTTACACTGGGAGTGCTACAATAGTCACGAGGAATAGGTGGTTGATATG